GAGAGAGAGAGAGAGAGAGAGAGAGAGAGATTTCGTAGTAAAACGTGGAAAAGCTGGCCGATTCGATAGTAATTGTTGACGCGTTCAAATATTTAATGGAAAACGAGGATTTGAGACCGTGTTTAAACGCGTAAAATTTGTTATCGACTCGTTTCTCGTTTTACTATTCTTAATTCGATTCGATCGAGTTAAGTTACAAATCCGATACTGCATAAACGCGTGAAAGAGCGGGAGACGAGTTTAAACCCGATTATAAATCGGAAAGAAAAGAGGAAAAAAAAAAAAAAAAAAAAAAAAAAATAAAAACGTCACTCACTTTTGCGGTTCGTTGGGATCCCTCTTTTTCTTCTTTTTCTGCGATTTTGGTTTCCTTTGATTTTTTGCTCCAACGTCAGTCGGCTCCGGCGAGGGTCGCTTAATCCCGGTAATCTGTACAAACGAATACGAATCGCGCAAGATTTACTAGTTCTTTATTTCGGTTAGATCAGAGACCGATTCGATCAATTGCTCACCAAACTCACCATTCCGGAATGAGGCGTACTGTCGTCGCTATCCTCGCTAGTAGTGGTATTGTTATTCGGCTCGGGTACAGTATTCGATTGTATCGCGGAGGGACTACCACCCGTTGGACTTCTATACTGCATTTGCTGCTGCAATTGTTGTTGCTGTTGTTGCTGTTGCTGTTGAGTGTGCATGTACTGTATATGCTGTTGCAACTGAACTTGTTGTTGCTGGTGTTGCTGTTGCTGCTGCTGCTGCTGTTGAAGCAACATTATTTGCTGGTTTCCATGTTGTTGTCGTGGTGAGCTCATACTCACGTACGAACCCTGCGACGTATTATATGTCGAGCTAGGAAAAATAACATCGAAAAAGAAGATGAAAAACGAACAGAAACCTGCCTAAAATGATCTCGTATCGAGAATCAAACGATCGATCGATCCTGATTTCATAACGGAATCAGACCCCATGGTGGGTTATTAATCGACAATTACCACCAAATCCGCCACAAACGCCATCCATTTTTACCGATCGGTAAGATATAATCGATATGAGATTCGTTAACCGAGCCAATTACAAGGATCAATTTACAACGTTAAAAATCTTACCTTACGCTAATCGGTTGTTGCATCGAGTGATCCTGTTGCAAGTAAAGGGATTGTTGATATCCACCAGGATCTAAATTCAATCCGTCCGAAGATTGTTGAACGTTACCGGTTTGCATCATCTGCGAAAAGCATTTGAACGAAGATAATCGTTTCAGTCTTTCAAGCTATCGTCGTCGTCGTCGTCGTCTCGCGGCAAATTTACCTGTGTTTGGTAACCGTGCATCGGATCATGTTGAGGCTGAGTTTGTTGTTGCGTTTGATGCTGCTGTTGCTGTTGAGGCTGTTGTTGCTGTTGCTGATGTTGTTGGTGAGAATGGGAGTGGATGGCCGGTATATCGAAATCCTCGTCACCAAAACTAGGGGTGTGAAACGTCTGCGAAGAAAAGAAATGTGTTTGGGTTTGAATCTCGTGTTACAAATTCTCTTTGAAGAGAACGGTCCCAAATGGTTTTGAAAGAAAACCGACAAGAATGGAAACACGTCGACTTGATGCGGACAATATGTAGATGAGCAAAAACATAGAACATAGAAAGCAAAAGCTCGTTTAGAGTAGACGATCATCGATCGATTCCCATTCGTTCGAATCAAAAGAATCTTTTTCTTTTTTTAAGACGAATGCGAGCCAACATTCGTTCGGTATTTGGATAATTCGATCTTCGCTCAAACTCTGGATTAATTTCGTCAAATTTAACGCAAGGACGAACATTCGATCATTCACGCTTTCGATCGTTTCTCGATCGATATATACGTTTCACATAAGAGAGAGAGAGAGAGAGAGAGAGAGAGAGAGAGAGAGAGAGAGAGAGAGATCATCACGGCGAATCGTTTGAAATCCTTTTAGCGATTTATCAACGTTTCGAGGCAGGGAACACGAAGGAAGGAAAATACATTTGCCGTGTAGAGCGTGTCGGGCCATGGGGAATAAAAGTTTTTAAATTGGATTTAATAGCATCAGGAATTTTCCTTTGAAGGAACGTACTTGCCTATTGATCGAGTATACCTCTGCCCCTCTACCCTTACTGTGCCCATCGCGCGTTACCCCTTACCTCGCGATGTTTCTCTTACTCTATCGTTTCGCTCTCGCCTCTCTCTCTCTCTCTCTCTCTCTCTCTCCCTCTCCCTTTTCACCGCGCTCCGTCCCGTAACGTCCCATAACCGTCCCGTCGATGCTCGCGTGTACGCGTACTCGTCCTATTTCAACTACTCCTACACCTCCTACTCCTCCTCTCGTGCACCTCCTTCTCCTCCACCTCTGCTCCCTTTCCATCTCCGAATCGACTACGCGCGTCTATCCATCTTCTTCCTTCACCGCACAGCTTCCAAACTTTTCTTTCTCTCCGCGCCCTCCCCTCCCCCCCTACCCGCGATCCCTCCGCCGCCCCCGCCACCCTGCCAACCCGTTCCACGCTCCTGCCCCCGTACCCTAACCCAAGCCCCCAACCCCACCGCCGTTTCTCTCGCCCTCTGCCTACTCGGCCGAGGAGTAAGATAGTCGTATCTTTCCTACACCCCCTTTTCGCTCTCCTCTCGCCCTCCCACCCGCCCGCATCAGCCAACCCGTTCACGCTCGCGCTTTCGCCCGGTGTGCCCGGTGTGCCCGGTCCCCGTGTCCCGTACCCGACCGTCTCCGCCCCTGCCTTCCCATATCCACCGATAACCAACCTTCTTCCTTCCTACGAATTAACCATTTTCGCAAATATATATACATATATATATATATATATATATATATATATGTATTCGAGAACTTACTTGATCGGCCATGGCGTAGCTATTCTGATGATACTGCGTCGAATGATGATGCTGCGGAACGTTCAACGAAAAATCCAAACTCTCGTTTCTCTGAAACAAATTAAAAAAAGAAATATATATATATGTGTATGTATGTGTGTATATGTGTGTGTGTGTGCGCGCGAGTGTATATCTTTCCATTGAATATTCGTATGAGAAACGTACATTTGCGCCGTTTCGCAAATTTCGCCACCCATTTTTTCCCTTCTCTCCATCATCATCCTTTCCTTCCCAAAAATATTGTCGCGCAATTTGTCGATCCCGGTTGTATCCTTTCCGCGGGACGGGACAAGCGCGTCCTTCCTTCCTTCCTTCCTTCCTTCCTTCCTTCCACCCTTTTTACGGTCAATGGCCTCGACAAGCGTGAGTTCGTCGATTCTATTCGTTCGATGTTTTGCATGGTAAGAACACGAGAAATCCGCGCTTCCGCGTTCTCGAACGAGAATCGCTTAATCTCGTCTTTAGGTGCTCGTGATAGGATCAATCGGATCGTATTTCCATTACACGTATCGAATTCATTTTAAAAGCAACGTTTTTCCTCTCTTATTACGCAAATTCCAATGTTTTGCTTTTTTTTTTTTTTTTCCAATTTCAATTATTCTTATTCATTATTATTTCGATTCAACTTTTGATTCGAAAGACCGTTCGATTTTTTTTTTTTTTTTTTTTAATTTACAACTAAAGAGAACGTTTATTTCTTCTTCTCGCCTTATCTCCGTCTCGATGATGTAACAAGGATAAATTTGTCAACTGGGTAATCTATAAATTCTTCGTTCTTACCTAGATCTTTCCTCATCGTTTTTGAAATCTTTCAATTCAATTCTTTCAATTTTTTACGGCGAATTTACGTTCTCATGTTTGAAACACGTGTTACGATTTTTATCGAGTGGAGCAATTATTCATTCGATTCGAAATCGTAAAATTGAACGAAACGAGATATCTAAATAGAAGATTCGATAGAAAAATCAATGAAATGAATCGATGAAAAATAAATACTTAAAAATATTTGGAAATTATCGAAATAAAAAAAAAATATCAAATCGAACGGTACTTATTTAAATTAAAAGAACTAATCATACCACAACAATTTCGAAGAAGAACGATAATATTAATGATAAAAGACGATGTATAAGAAGGAGGGAGGATAACGAAAAATTAATCGTGATGGAAAGAAAAAGAAGAAGGTAAGGTGCACGATACGTTACTTTTCCCAATAGAAGCAACAGCAGGCAGGCAGGCAGACAAGCAAGCAAGCAGGCAGGCAGGCAGGCAGGCAGGTAGGTAGGTAAGCAGACAAGCAAGAAAGCGAGCAGGTAGGTAGGTGGGTAGGTAGGTAGGTAGGTAGGTAGGTAGGTAAGCAAGCAGGCAGACAAGCAGGTAGGTAGGTATATAGGTAGATAGGTTGGATAGTCGATTGGTAGATAGACGAGATGTAAGAAAGATCAACGAGAAAATCCAAATCGAATCGAAACGAGTAGTGAGTTCGTGCGAAGAATATTTCATTAACCTGTCAATTTTGACAATGGATATTTTGTTTCGACTGATAATCACGCCTTCGTTTGTTCGTTTCTCCAATATTATTTATAATTACGCTTTTAGTTAACGAACGAAAAGAAGATAAATCATTCGTCGAATATATCTTGACATCGATATATTCGAATAACTTTTTCGTCTAAATCCGTCGATTATCCATTTTGACAGTGTTCGAAAGATTTAAATAACAAGCATAATAACGCATAGTAATAGAGTGTGAAAAGTAGTTGAAACGCGAATTAAAAAAACATCGAGAAAAAGAAAGGAGAGTCATTTGAAGTAAGTAAGAAACAAGAGAGAAGCAAAGCAAAAGCTAGAGATATTCAATAGATGTATACTCTTACTCAGCGTATAATAACCGATGTTAAACCTGTTTCTCGTCCCAATCCCTCCCGCCCCGCTACGCTCCCACCTCATATTCAACATCATCACCATTTGTAATCTGTAGCTCGTTCCTTTTTCTCGTCGTTTTTTTCCCAATTTTTCCCAAAAGATCTTATACATCTTCTTCCCAAAAATAATCTCGTCGAACGTGCCCACTACCTCGTTGGATGAAGGAAATGTTTTTAAATATCGTTTCGATTTTTTAATCTAAAACGTTAGAAACGGTGCGAAACGTAAACGAATTTAATATTATAATTTTAATACGGTTCGATACTTCGATACGATATCCTAGTTCACGCGATACAACGATACAAACGATACAACGATCATCGATCGATCCAATTTGAGAAACAATTTAAGAATCCAACGATCGAAAAGTATTTACGAATATTAGAATCGGCGTCATTCGTAAAGTTGAATCTTCCACCAACAGATGGCGGCTCAAGATTATCTCGAATATATTTCGAAAGCAAACACCAACTATTTCGGATAGAGTAACGAATCTTAATTTTGAAGCTTAAAAATTCAATTACAATTACCGCTATCGAGAAAATTCCCGATAAAAAGTAACGTTGATTGATATCGGTTAAAAGAATCCCAAGATCGATGACTTACCGATGAGACGAACCGACGACTCGTCGGGACGGGATCCAGGTTATCGAATGCACGTGTAACGTGCAGCGTGCCGCGATACCGTTAGCGTACCACGATGAATCCTTCTCTTTTAAAACGCAGCTTCTTTCTGTAAAAATGATTCGATTCGAAAGAAAACAAGTCGAAAGGAAACGTTACATACGTTCGATAAGATAGAAACGAAACGAACGAAACGATTCGATTCGACGACTTTTTGTCATTCGACCGTCTATGCACACGTCGACACTAATCAAGCAACACGTTTTCACATCACCACGCGCTCTCGTTACGTTACATCGACATAGGTAAACACGTACACAATGATTTTATCGAAACATAACACGTAACCAAAATACAAATCGCTATGCACATACACAACGTATTCGACTCGTGGCGTAACTCGTGACAGCGTGGCAAAACGACGCGCGCTCCTCGCGGCGGCCGGCGCGGGAATGATTGAAGGGAGGTTCAGTTTGTGGCACGCTTCGATAGTGGGGATAGATCTCTCGACAGGGGAGTAGATTCGTGCGCCCCCTGTCTAACGTATATCGATAAAGGATACAATGTGTGCAACGAAACGATACGATACAACGCGAAACGACGTACATTGGACGACGTATTACCACTCATTTACGAAAAATTGTACAAATATACGACTTAGTTACCACAGTTAAACAAATGGACAATTGTTATTCAAAACATAGAGAGAAATAATTAAAAGGAATGAACGAGGAATGAATTTAACGACAATGTACGAACAAATGTGATTTATATTTGAATCTGGAAGACCGATTTTTTTTACTTTTCGATTCGATTTTTTTTTTCTGATATGTTTATGAAAAAATTAATTTTCGCGTTACATAACGAAATACAATTCATCGTACGATTATATATCTTATATGTATACGTACATATAAGTTGAAATTCGATCTAATTCTCGACGACGAGGGAATCGAATCTTTTGATATATCGTGATCGAAATATCCGATGTTTCGATTACGCTCGCCAAGAAAATCCCAAACCGGTAATATTAAATACCGTTTTTCGATATACGATACGCGTAATAATAATAGTTTACTTTTGAATCACATCGAATCACGCGAATAATATTCGTAGTCGGTGGTTCGTGGCCCAGTTAACAAGCTGCGATCGCTACATCGTGGAAGAAAGGGGTCGGTTTGAAACACGGAGAGGGGCCACAAGATAGGAGTGGGGTTCCTGTTTAGAGAGCGGGAGCGGAGGGACGTGGTGTACAGGATTGAAAGAGGCCGGTGGCGCAACGAACAGTGGAAAGAGGACTCGCGACGTATGACGCGCGCGCGGTCAAACGATGACGAAAGAAATTGTTCGCAACATTGGCACAAATGGAAAAAAATCATTTTCTTATCTTTCTTTTTTTAAATGAAAAAGAAAAGAAAAAAGAAAAAAATTGACGATATCTTTCGAAAAACGAGAAATAAAATAATCCTTATTATACTCGATATTCCAGATTCATTTATTAGTGATTAGAATTTATACTTACGAGCATTTTTTACGATGTAAACATAGAATTTTGAGTTTCCGTTCGATACGCTCGATTTTCGAAAATTCAAGATTTATCGATATAGGTAGAAAGCAAAATGATCAAAATTCCAGAAAACGGGAAATCGATTCGTTAAAAATTATTTCGTTGTAAAATAAACACGCACAACTATATAAATAATTAAATTGGTATTATACACTAAACGCATGTTAAACACGCGTTATCTACCGATACTTGGTTACTCGAATATTCCAAGAAAGTAGGACACGACTGTGATGGCAATCGAGTGTGCCGCGTGGCCCGAGGAAACAGGGGTTACGTCGCAGTTTATAAAGAGTCATTACATTCCCGTGAAAGGTGGCTTTAATTTCAGTGGCATTCCAATCGCATTAACGTACTATATTCCCGTGCAGCATATCCCGTATTCAATCGCGAGAAGCGACAATCTCTATTCGAAATATTTACTCGAACAAAATTGTTACACGGTATCGAACACGGTCGATGATTTTAACGTAAATTTGTTAACTGATCTGTTCAAAAAACATTTTAATTAATTATCCATCCAAACTATTTATGTATACGTACATATATATATATATATCGAAAGTATTCGCTCTTTATTATTTAAAACGTAGGAGGTGTAAAATCTTTCGAGTATTCGCGTAATAATTGTGCGAATCGTAAAAAAACGGAAGAAAAAAAAGATAATGATAAGAAGATCAATTTTAAATCGTGTCGTAAAAAATAGAATCGGGATCTCTTCGGTTAAAAGAATTGAACGATGGAACCGTGGATTTGATCATGGAGCGGGCAACCGAATCGATATTCTCTCACGGGACAGTCTCTGTCCCGCTACTTTGCTCCGCCAAAAAGCGGCGAAAACACTGATAGTATGAGAGAGAGAGAAAGTGGACGTATCGAGTGTCGATCAAATTTAACCGATAACCAATCACAAAAACGAAACTCGAAATTTTACATT